GCCTGGGTTCAAATCCTGGCTCTGTTGTTTCCCACTTCACCTCTCTGTGCTTCCCATTTCTCACCCTTATGATGGACATAGTAAATGCCATCTATTGCCAGATGAGCATGAGGACAAAATCTACAGAATGTAACCTGAGTAGCAAATATTCAAAGCATGCTGCCTAGGACTGGAGAGATGGCTCAACAGTTAGGAGCACTTGTTCTTGCCAAGGACCAGCACCCACATGGTGGCTCACAACTGTCCATAACTCCAGTTCCAGGGTATCCAATGACCTCTTCTGACCTCTGTGGGCACTAGGCACACATGTGGTTCACATATATACATGCAAACAAAATACTCATGCATAGCTGGGCGGTGGTGGCGCAATCCTTTAATCCCACCACTCAGGAGGCAGAGACAGGAAGATCTCTGTGAGTTCGAGGCCAGCCTGGTCTACAGAGTGAGTTCCAGGAATGTCAGGGCTACACAGAGAAACCCTGTCTCAGAAAAACAAAAACAAAACCAAACAAAACATCACTCATACACATAAATAAAAATTTAAAATCTCAAGGTATGCTGCCTGTGTTTGGATACAACCTTCCCACTGGGGTGACCACTCTGCAGCTTGACCCCTGCAAGGCTCACAAGAAACCCCTCATGATAGTACCAAGGTCAGAACTTGGAAAGTGATGAGAACATTACTTCCCAGGACCCCAGCATCCCAATTTAGCATCATCTTATCTTTCTGTCCTTGAACTCCATGTAAGCTACCTTCCTAAGTCAGGAAAGTCATCACCTCTTCTTTAGGACAGGACTGGCTGCCCATCACCAATCACGTTTCCTTTCTTACTGACCAGGTGACATACTTGTGCTGGATGTCAGGACCAGATATCAGCTGGGAAGAACCAGCCCTATGGTGCCTCCCACCACAGCCACCAAGGCAGAAAGCTAAGTAGCATGCCTGGTTATTATAGCATCCACCCAAACTTTCTCCCTGACCTGGATCAGGTCCTCAGTCCCAGAAAATACCTGGTCCCTTTTCTATTTCTGGTGGGAACACAAGACAGCCTTCTTTCCTCACCCATTACCCTTGCTCCCAAGGCAGCAGGAGTCAGGGTGGGGTAGGGGACTCCATGGTACTACAAGGATAGAGTTAGATCTTTCCATTTCTGGATTCCCAGTGCCTGACATACCATGAGGCTGTGCAGGCAGATGCTTAGCATTGTGGGGGATTAAAAAGACCTTTTCCAGGAGGCTTAAGGCTCTGGTACTGTCTCCTAGGACACCTCTCTCTGTAGGGACCTGGATGGCACAGGCTGGAATCAAAACCCGTACAGATCTTTCCACTGTCCCTACCTCCTAGTTCCCAATACATTGAGACCTGAGCCTGTCACCAATGCAACTCCAAACTTCCTCGGTCCCCAGGTTGGCTCCCTCAGAGAAGAGCATTAAAAGGAGGAAGTGGGATGTCAGAACCCAGAGCATATGGGGCCAACATGCCCATGACTCCCCCTCTAGTGGCTACTTGACCTGGAGTTTAAGGTAAAATGTTCCCACTCCTGCACTCCAGTGATATCCTCCAGCAGCTGGGTCCAGATGCTGCCCTGGGTTTCTTCCTTCCAGGGACTGGCAGCAACACAGGAGCCACCGGTGCCAGCAATCGTGACAAGGCTGGAGAGGTGTCATATAAATAGCCCGGGGCTGCCCGGCTGCTCCACCCTCCTCCTGGCTCTGGTCCCAAATCTTCCCTTTCCTCACCCTCGCAGTGAACCTGCTAGCAGGGGCTCTGCTGGACCCCATCTGCTCCTTAACTAGCTGTGTGACCTTGGGCAAGTGACTCAACCTCTCCAGCCTCACTTGCTTCCTTCTGTTGTGAAATGGAACAAGAATGGCTGTCTTTAAGGTGGTTGTGAGGATTAGAATATAAAGGACATTGAGCACCATGCCTGACAGGCTATGCGTCTTAGTTACCGGTCACGGCAGACCTGGGGTAGGACAGAGGCTCAGACTGATGTCAATGGGGACACAGAGATGGCTTGAACAGCAACCACAGGAGCGTCATCTCTGCCCTGGAAGGGACACTGTTGGGTTCACTGCCACATCAGTTCAGTCCCCTTGGGCCAGCTGGACAGCTCCAGAAGAAGCCTCTGTGGATGAGGAGACTCCGGTTCTGGCACCAGAATGCTGCGTGATGCTGGAGGACTCACTTGCCTTATCTGGTCACTTCCCTGTCTACAAAGCCTCTTGGGTAGTGATCTCTTCTGAATTAAGTTGTCTTTCATAGCCCAAGTTTTACAGTGATGCTCCACCTCTCGGGAAGCTGCTTGGGCTCCCAAGGTTGAAGACAGCCTAAAATGCAGACCTGAAGCATTCAGACCCTACCTCAGCCTAGTCATGGGTCAGAAACCTGGGTCCCCAGTCCAGGGTATGGGCTCAGGTCACTGGGAGACATGTTTGTGACAATGCTAACTTAACCCCCCAGGCAGAGAAATTTATATTCTTTGAAAACAATCGCATAGGTGGGTCTGGTTTTTTTGTTTTATTTGTTTTTTGAGGCAGGGTCTCATTACATCATCCACTAGCCTTGAA